TATATTTACAAATATGCCGAGAATCGCGTTAATAAATGCGGCATCAATCATCGCGCGCTCTGCAGCTCAAACGCGTATATTATCACGGGCGCAAACTTTACGTGCGCGGAGGCGTCACACTAACGTCCGTAACTATTTTATCAATCATTCGAGCCCCCCCACCCTGCAGGCCTGCTTGGAGGAGGCGGGCGGCGGGTGGTGACACCTGTCCTCCTCATTATTTATTGAGACTAATAGCTTTTGCTGCGCGAAAGCACGAGCACACATTCGCTATTTCGTTCGTTTATTATTATATTATATTCCCATAAAAGTCCGATGAGTAATGAAGCGGGACAAATTAAATCACATCGACGCACACTCGCAGACATTGTTGGACTCGAGCTGTCAATTCGGTAAATGGGTGGCTGCACACGCACCCAATAACGGTGCAGCAACTATGTCGCGCGTTTACTTCATCCCTCGGATTTTTCCTCAACGCGCAGTAGAGTAGTAGAGTTTCTCCTCTATTATGTTATTCGCGCGCTCCGAAGCTATAATATATCGTGGAGAAGGCGGCGCATTGAAATGACATCGAACTACACGCACGTAATATAATGTACTTATCAAGACAGGTCGCTTTCTCTCTCTCTTTCTCTCTTGGTCTATTATATAAGCTGTATATATGTGTGTGCAGCCCCTCGTATAGACACGGGAGCGCCGAGTCGTATCGAGCGGGTCTCTCTCGTCGACTGCTATATCGACGCTATGGCGACGGCGACGGCAACGACGACGACGACGACAACGTCGCGACGGAAAGAGAGTATAAACCGCAGTACACCAGGCTTTATCGCCACATTACGTGGTCGATCCACGCAATGTACTGCGCTTCGCGCGTATATACATACATTTTATATAAACGTATATAGGAGGAGGAGGAGCAGCAGCAACGCTCGCGAGCGTTCATCCCAAGCGGCTGCGGCTGTCGAGATAATGCGCGAAAATCGATTTACAAGATGAAAAAAGAGAAAAAAGGAGAAGGAGGTAAAACTTAAAAAAATAGTCCATTTTGAACGGAGCTGAGGTTTTATGTAGCAATAGCAGGGCCGCGTTCTCTTCGGCATGGTTGGTTGGTTGGTTGGCACTATGGTGTGGCACGTGAGAGAAAGGAAGGGGAGGGCCACACGAAGCATTATGATAAAAATTAACGCGCGCGAGCTCGTTCGTCGGGGAGGGTGTTGCTCTCTCGGCGTATAATAATATAAGTACGCGAGAGCTCGAGCCATGGAGCACGGAGGCAAAAGAGAGCAGTGGTGGCGGCGGCGGCGAGCTGGCAAGGAAAAGTGCTTGATATTACGAAACGGGTCTCTGGACGCTTTTTACCCTAGTTTCTCGCGCGCGCGCACGTTTATACATATAACTGAAGCAGTAAAGAGCGAGAGAGAGAAAGATATCTCCCTTGAAAGCCGTGTGGATGGTAATTTCATCAAGGCAAGCGCATGTTCAATGCCGGTCTCTTCGGCAGCAGCGGCGCGCTTCCAATTTTCATCAAAATACTGTTTTCCACTATCGCGCGGTGCATGGCATGGCATGGTGGTATACACTATATAGACACGCGTTCGCGGAGGCCATTTCTATTATATCCTCTTTTTTTCTCGCTGCAGCTCTATTTTTTTCTCTCGTTGCGCTCTTTTATTTTTTTATTTTTCGCTCAAAAGAGAACGCGTTCTCGCTCGTTGGCAGCCGCGCGCATCGGAATCAGCGGCAGAGGCAGAGCAGGAAATCTCGGCTCTCTCGCGCGCGCGCGCTTGCCTCGTGAGCCTATAAACGAAAATAACGCGCGCAGCTTGAGCGAGACTGAAAGCTTCGTCGATTCGGAAATGCGTGCGTACCTACCTACCTACATGGCTTAAAACTAAATCTCTGTCTCTCTCTCTCTCTCTCTCTCTAGCTATGCGAGCGCGCGTACCAACGTGAACATAGGCCGCAATTTATCCGGGACACAGACGCCGCGTGGTATATTTGTGTGCGCGTGGATGTGAGCTTGCACGCACGTACATATAGTATGCACGCGCGTCTACTCTGCGGTTTGCTAGAGTGAATAGAGTGAGAGAGAGAGAGAGCCTTTCTTTCTGCGCGAGCAATTTCCATTTGGCGCGCGGCAGAGAGCTGGAGAGCTGGCTGCTGCTGGTGGCGTCTACGCGCGCCCGGACCTACATACATACATTCATTATAGGTCTACGTATATGTACTATACGCATACGTACACACCCCTATGTAGCGGCGCAGTACGTGCACGGCTCTCCGACTCGTTCTCGCTTTCCGTACATTGCCGTATTATACTCTCGTCCAGTGCACTCTCGAGTATACGGTACAGAATACGTGTAGCAGCGTCGAGGCAATATAGCAGTCGCCCTGATGCTGCTGCTCTGCCTATGCGTGCGGACGACTGAACCCGCGCGGCAGGCGGGCACACACATCCGCGCGCGTATTCTCGCTTCGAAGCTCCTTTTGAAGCGCGAATTTCACAATCGATAAGATACAAATGCCGCAATGAGAGTTAATTGACCACTTCTGCAGTAGCTTGTACATACGTGAGAGAGAGAGAGAGAGAGAGACAGCGAGAAAGACACTTTGAAAGCTCAACGATGCTGCTGGCCGAGAGAGCTGCGCACATATGTAGGCTGCTGCTGCTTCTCTATTTCGATTTGTTCGCGCGCTCACAGGTGTGCACCTATGCGTGTGTTTGAGCGAACACAATACTCATATTATTGTGTGTACAGGCTTCTCTCTGTGGCACTATCGGGGATGTAAGCTCGCGTGCGCGCACTCGGTCAAACCGATATACGTGTGTATACGTCGGCTCGCTGACTCCACTATCTGCTGCCGCTGCTGCTCGTTTTACTGCCGCTGCGCTCATTTTACCAAATTGCTCGCAAATCTCTTTAAATGAGCGACGAGCGCGTGTAACATGCCCGCGCCCCGGAACTGCTTTAGCGCAAATTTCGCGCAAACATTCATTGGGCCACCGCCGCCGCATTTGCTAAAGGGCCGAGCAGCAGAGGACGAGGAAGCAAAAATCACCGTAAGCCAATGAAGCACGTATGAAAATTTAATGGCGTTTGCAGGTTGCGCTGCAACGTACCCCACGACCTGCAGTTCGCGCGCTCCACCCGCGTACCCGCGTGTATATATAGCAAAAAAAAAATAATACCAGCTGCGGCTCTTAAAAGGTAATATTTGTGAAATGAAGTTTACTCGGCGAGCGGAAGGGAGAGAAAGAGAGAGAGAAAGTTAACGACAACTTTTACACCGACGCGGCAGCGCGGCTATATACATGTCCTATAACTGCAGGGAGACACATATAGACGTATAGCACAGCACACTTTAAGGCGTAGCTTTATACTTGTATACGGAGCAATGTGCAGCTAGCAAGCGAGCGAGGTGCAAAACTTCTCGCCCTTATACTATACTATACCGTGCTGTGCTATACTCGCTCCTAAGAAAATAAAATGAAAAGTAAAGGAGGGAAGGAAGAAAGAGAAAAAAAAAGTATTTCCGCGCGCGCGAGAGCTTGCAAGTCGTATTTTAAGGCGTTCTCCTCTGGATATACACACACACAGGAGACGGCGACAACGACGACGACGACTCGATCGTTGCTGCTGTGCCGCTGTTAGCTTACGTCGAGGCAGCAATCGATCGTTTCTGCCGACTACTGACAGTCATTCGTCCATTAGGTAAATGAAACTGGGCCAACCCGTCTATCTCTTTCCTTTCCTTTGCTTTCATTTTTTTTTCGCAAACGTCGTCGTCTTCGTCCTTCCTCTCTCTCTCGCTTGTCGAAAAGAAGAATCTGCCTCATTCGCGAAATCTCGTCGCTTTTAAAAGGAGAGAAGATATCTCAGTTTTCTCGATTTCGTTCTCTATCTCTCTCTCTTCTTTTCGAGTAAAAAGGGAGAATAGCAGTATTATGTATATATACATCCAAGGGCTTACAATTAAGCGGGCTCAATATTTGACTTGGCGCTCCTCTCCTCTCTGTCTCTCGCTCGACATTCGCATGCATGAGGGTTTACGCTATATATACCTACGCCACTCTAGAACTCTCTGTGCTCGTCTCTCTGTCTCTGTCTCTCTCTAGCCTGTCTGTTTATTGGTGATCGATCGATTCGATTCGGCCTGGCGCGGTATATAGAGAAGTGCGCGCGCGACACGCGTCGTGTCTTCCCTGTTGCTATATATACACGTAGGTGTGGTGGATTTGCGCGCTATACACCGTTATATACAGTACACCTACATACACTACTACTACTACTACCACACGGTATGTATACACGCGTTGTAGTACACGGAGATATCGCCGTAGAGCTGCCACCTAGCAAGGGGTGAACGAACTTTTGCACCTGTGCGATTGGGATTTTCGATCTCTGCTATTGTATTATATACATCGAGTCGATAATGGTACGATTACCGAGTAATCGCTCGACAACAGGTCTATCGTGTTCCCACACAATTAACGCGTTATTATATACATTTTTCGACTCGAGATACACATTGTGTGTGTATAGGTGTGTATTGTATGAATCGAACCCCCCTTTAACCGATGTGTTTGTTTTTGCTTGAACGGAGCGAACGATGAGTGCGTGACGCTGTCGTACTTGAAAAAAAAACCAACCGACGACTCGATCGACGTAAATGACACGGCACTAAGCTCTTCGAAGGCGATGACTTTGTATATTACACACATAGACTAAGACGGGCACTAATTGACTTCTACTAAGCGCCCGCCCGTATTATGTACATGTGACGCCCCCGATCTACGCAGCACACACGCGTCGTAGTCCTGATGCGGCTTAATTTCTTAATTTTTTTTTCTCTCTCTTTGCTTATCCGAAGCGTCTATCCATTATGAAGACTTTATTATGTTTTTATATTGAGTCCGAAGCGTCTCTGTCGATTCAGAGTACCGCTAATAAAAATAATGACAATGATAATAATCTCTGCTTATTTTTTATGTGTTACAGTCATTCCTTGGTTCCTGGACACTTGATGGCTCAAACACCTTACATGTAAGTACCGTGCGGTAGCTTTTGTTTCATATTCTGCGTCATTGTAAATACACAAAATATTTCACGCTCAAAATATATACCGAGATCGATTATCGGTTAATATAACTTTCCAATTCATATTTCGCTCCGTTCCGAAAATTAAAATTAAGACGCTCGACGTTCGGTTTCTTCGTTATTATAAGCGAGAGCATTTAAATAGTTAAACGAGTTGCGAAAATAGCTACCTTGCTTGGCGCCCTGATTACGTGTGCATGGATATACACACAAAATTTGTATGTGCGTGCGCTGCTGCGTATATTTATACTGCAGGAGAGTTTCACGAGTGCACCAATTTTGTGTGCCTTGGCGTATATAGGGCGCCAAGCACGGAGATGGAAGAGCAAAACTGGGGGGGTTGAAAACAATGTTTCAAAGCAAGAGCCTCTCATTTGGATTTACATCGACTCGCTCAGTCTCTCTCTCGTCGTTCGTTCGTTCGTTCGGCTCGGCTCTGCTCTATACTACTACACTCCGTGTCTACCCATTATGTAAATAGAAAGTTTTTAACGAACCACTGTGTTCAAAATCTGATTTAATAGTACAACGATGTTTTCGGCTCGTATCTGCTGCTACTGCTAGTAGTACTGTATATATGCACATTGTGTGCTGTATATAAACGCGTATGTATGTGTGTATATATGGCCGTGTATATCTGCTACTATATACGCATTAAAACATTGTTAGCGTACAGATATATAGCTACTTGTGCTATTAGCCGTGATTCGAACCAGTCGCGCAGTTACAGCAGCAGCCTTATCTCATTAGGCCGTAAAATCGCGAGCATTTTTCAACAAAAAGCCTGTTATCCTTCTGCCTCTGTGAAATTTATCCCTTTTTTTCTGCTCGCAAACGCGCACATATAAGAGTCCATCAGTTGCAGATGTAAAATCTCAATTTATAATGTATATACCATAAAAGTCGTTATCTAAAAGCTTCTCTCTTTCCTCTCTCTCTCTGTTCTCTCGTTTCTTTCGTTCGTTCGCCCTCTCGCTCCCTCCTTCCCTGTTCTCCTCTCGTGTGCTGCTATAGCTAGCTCCCACTCGCGCTCCCTACCACCGCTTGGTGATTCATTCTCCGTTGGAGGAATATAAGAGAGCATATGTGCTTTGACCTCGGGCCATTTATGAAACTCATAGCAGCGGCGGCAGGTAAATCCAAAGATTGTCGAGCTCGTTCAACCTACCCCCCCGTATTCGTTTGGTCGGCGGATTTCCAATGGTCTAACGCAATTGAAATTAAAGAACCACACACGTATACCGAGTCGATGCACTCGTGTGTTCGTAGTGCGTGTGTGTGTGTGTGTGTGTGTGTGTGCGTTCGACTGGCACATCGCTATGTGCGCAGTCGCCCTAAAGACGCGACGGCGGCGCGGTTGGCTTTTCCCCTCGGATAAATACGCGAGTAGTGCACACGCGCATGCCCAGACACGATCTCGCTCTGTGTGTGCTGTGCCTGCTGCTGCTGTTGAACAACGATTGACTCGATGCTGCTGCCGCTTCTGCGGAGCCATCGCCTCCTCTGCACACACATACACATACACCGTTTCTCTTCCTCCTTCCTTCCTTTCTTTATCAGTCTTTTTTCAATCCTCTATTTTCTCATTCATTCTCCTGTGCAGCAGCAGCAGCCAGGCGAGTTTTTTGCCCTTTCCTTTTGCCCTCTTCTGCAATTTTTTTCTCTCCCTCCCTCGTTTTTTTCTTTTCGTTTTTCACATAGTAAGTAGTAGTAGTAGTATATAGCAGTAGGGCCAAACCTTCCGTAATGCGCTCGGTGGCTCTTCAAATATGCGCCGCACACACCGAGAATGAAACAGCATGTGCTGCTGCGCCTGCAGTCGTCGAAAAATTTATTTTCATGAGCTTGATTCATTTGTTTGATATTGCTGCTCTCTGTGTCGTCGCGTCGCTGCCGCAATAGTGCGGAATACACACATGCGCAAACACCGAGCTTGCAGACCGAACATACGCGCGCGGTAGACAAGCGCTTTTTCAACCCTCCCGAGGTTCATTCGATCGTTGCGAATTATCCGTGAAAAAGTTTAATTTATCTCCGTGTGCTAAGTGAAGAAAGAGATGAAAAAAAATTAACTCGTTCACATGGTGGTGAAAAAGAGGCGAAAGATATTTTTAGCTTTGGCCTGCTGCTGCAAGCTCATGATGTACTTTTTTGCTTTTGTATCTTCCTTCTTTCTTTTTTTTTTTTATCGTCGCGAAAAGATTGAAAAACCTCAACGAGTGGTTGGAAATTTTCTGCATTCCTTTTGAAATTTTCACAAGCAAGCCAGCCAGCCAGCCAGCCAACCAGCCAGAGTTCTGCGCGCGCGACCCTCCTTTTTTTTGTTAATTTCTTCTTTTTTTCATATACGAGCAAATTAGTCTTCGTTTACAAGCCAGCCATGGGGGCACGCGCGCGGCGTGGCGCTCGCGCTGCAACGCAAGCCGGGGCTTTATTGTGTGGAGATAAAAAAAAAAAAAAGGAAAAAAATTGCACAAGAAAGGCACGCAGGTTTTTGAAATGAAAAAGAGCAGAAAATTATTTTCAAAGCTTTAAAAGCATATCGAGTTGCGCCGCGAATTTCCGGGAGATGAAGTGCAGCGAGCGAGTGCGCGACGCGCCGTGGCAGCCATGTACTCTGTACAGCACACGTATAGCAGAGCGTATATAGGGTTTGAAACGTTTTAAAGCTCTTACAACTCCACTGCCTTTTGAGTATGCATACACACATGACTCTCTCTCTCTCTCGACAAAGTTTCATTCAAATTTTAACCTAGATAGATGTTGCCCTTCACGCAATCTCTCTCTCCTCTTCTCTCCTTCCTTCCCTCTTGCTGCTTCTCTCTTTTTCTTTATATATTTCGCATCTAAATAGTTATGACAAAGGTGTGTTTGCATTTTATACGCCGTACTGCTGCTTCTCGTGTGTTGTACACTTGTGCAAGTGCATCATGCTCGTGCGCGCTGCAAAAGTAGAAACAACGACGACGACGACGTCGTGCTTGTATGTGTGTCACCGTATAAATTTCTCTGCGAATAACGCCACGTTGTTCTTCCTCCTCTCCTATTTTAATAGATCCCATCTCTTCTTCTTGTTTTTTTTCTTCCTCCCTCTCTCGCATGAATAATGACGCACGCGAGCTTGCGCGCGCTTCGTGCAAACGACTGCTGCACCGCCACCACCATAGAGGCGACTGCCATATACTATATAAGCTTTCTCTATCCTCCTTCTCCACCTCCGCTCGTTCGCCCTTTCTTTCTTCTCTTTGCGCCTGATTTAAAGGGCGTCATCGACCAAATCGCGCTCTTCGATAAATTAGTCTCTTTTTCTCTCCCTCTCTCTCTTTCTCTTTCTAGACTCTCCACGATTCCTCTTATTATTTATGGCTTCCTACGTGCACATGCACCATAGAGCAGCACTAGCTAGCCGGTGCTGCTCGTGAGTAGTATGCACGCGCGCCGTTATATACGGTGATTCTCTAAATCTACTTCTTTGAAAATGACGCATATTTACTTATCCGAATTAATGTAATGGAGCATTTAAAACGATCATTTTTCCTCCCTTTTCTCTTTCTCTCTCTCTCCATCTCACTCACCCTCGATCCTTTTTTCTCCTCCCGCATCCACCCCTTTTGCCAGTCTTTTTCTCTAACTCTTTCCTCTCTCTCTCTCCGGTTGGCATTTGAAAATTTCATCAAAAACTTTTCACCCATTCACAAAGTGCAAACGCATATAACGTACGTAGTATAACGCACCGCGCGTAGATATATATACGAGGGTCGGACAAGGCACGTCTAATAAATTATCACTTTCTCGCGGTCTCTCTCGTGCGCTCGCGCGAAATATTTTCGCAGTTGCACTCTGTGTGTGTGTGTGTGCTGTACGGTATATACCTTTACTCGTTCTCTCTCTCTGGGCGCAGTGCAGTGTGTATAAGCAACAACAAGCCGTATACCATACTCGGGGCCGCGTATACAACACATGTATAATGTACAGCGCGCATATACATAGACGGGCGCGCGCGCACACAGTTTAACAGTCCCGACTCTACGTCGGGACGAGAGAGAGAGAACTGCTGCAACTCGTTATTTCATGAATATTTCGAGTCATAAAGCATGAAATACATCCGTATAACATCGAGAGCTCATAATATTATATACATACGTGTAGAGCTGTGTAGTATATCTCTGATACATACGAACGTGCATGTGTGTGTTTGCCGGGTGGCGCAATACTCGCAACGACTCGCAAAGAAAAAAAGTGTTACATTTTAATTAGAAATATATAGAGCCCGAGAACGAGGTAGATCGTCGTCACCGTTTCTGCTGCTGCTGCTGTTGCGTATTTATACTGTGTGTCGACGAGCGAAACAGAGAGAGAAAGAGCGAGAGATAGGTGTGAGAGATATATCCGTGAAATTGACTCATCATCGTCAGCGCGTCTTTGCGCCGGGTTCGCTCGAGCGTAGTACGACTCCGGAGTCTCGAGATGACATGAATTATTTACGATTCTCTCGCTCGCTCGCTCGGGTCGCCGTTCGTTCGCGCGCTGCAGAGAGCTAGCTTTTGCTCGTGTTCGCAACTGGTCGTCGCAACTGTCAGCCGACGTCGTCGTCGGGGGCTTTTTTCGCATACATATATACATTGGCTCGAGCTCTGGCCTCGGTGTCGTCGCTTTGCCGGAGAGTTTCGTTATATGTATTATATACAGTGCATATACCTTGTCGTAGGCTGCAGCAGTCCTCGCGCCACAATATAGCATAGCTTTACGAGCTCGTTGCTGCTGCTGCTGCTGCTGCTGCTGCCACCGGCTCTCTCTCTGCACGTATATATTTATAAAGCTCGCGTGTATAGTCGTCGCAGTTGTCGAGCTTGCTTGGGCTTGGGCTCTGTGTAGCTGCACACAGGAAGCCCATATACTTGCTGCTGCTGCTGCTGCTGGTGTGGGTAGCAGCTAGCTGGCTCTGGCGACTGCAGGCGCG